TTTCGGTTAATAACATCAAATTTGCAGCTACCATTTGTGAAAAATGTGCCTTTTCTTTTCACAGATTTTTCGTATTTCATAAAAATTTCTTGTAGAATTTAAATTTTATAAATAGCTCAAAGGTAGAAGTGCCTCATGCAACTTTGGAGTACACCCTACCCAGCATGTTATCAGTTTTTCTAAACACTACTGTTTATTTACAATTGTGTAGGTATTTGAATGTTTTCCATAATGCAGTGGAAGTTTAGGTGTGTCTTACTGGTTTCGAAAGAGTTCTATGTTGTTATTGAGGTATATCAATAATGCCATATACACAATGCTAGGTCTTCTTCTTGCTTCCTTTCTTGTAGGTTTGCTGGTTTGATGTGGATGTGTGATAGGTGATGTTATGTTTTCCTTATGGTTCGCATATGACCAGTACTGCCCATGATGAACGAATGCTTCGTTTTATGCTTCGGTAACTTTTCAGTTACCCTGATGCTCATTAAATTAAAATGCTGGGCGCATTTCAAAGAGGCTGACTAATGGTTATTACTTTAGAGATTACTTTGTACTCCTTAGAAAAGTGAAATGGGCAAGCCACTCACTCTATAGCGAAGCATGTTTGGTAGGCTCCCAATAAGAGCGATCACAGCTCCAACAATGATCGCTACACAGGCTGCTGGATAGCCATTGCATGGAGGCAGACGACTGTGAGCATGACTTCCCCGATAGAGAACCAGATACCTGTAAGAGACCATATAACCGCTAAAGTGAGCCTGATTCAAGTTAAGGGGGCTTTACTGACGACTACGTACCTCATTACTGCCATATTTACCGTAAACCATAAACTGGCGCTGTGTACAAATACGGAAAACATAGCATAGAATCTTGTGTAGATCATCCAAACGTGTGAGAAGAACCATGGATGACAAAATTCCACCTAAAATAACCTTGAATTCAAGGAATCTCATTTTTTGGGAGTAATTTTTAGGCAGAGCGTGTCTTTATGTTCATTTATTTATTTCATTTATTTGTTTTATCTATGAATCTTACCGCTCTATTAGAGTACTTGGCTTTTTTAACATTCATTTCTATAGAAAAAATACAGTTTCCAGTGCTTTACGGGATTATAACTATCGACCAACTAAATTTAT